GGGGGGGGGGGAGGGGAGCGAGCAGGACGGCGCCGCGCGATAAACAGTTAACGGGAGATGACGTAGCCCTTTTTGTTCGTCGTTTCGGTACTCTCGCACAACGCGTATTTTTTCGCGACCGCGTCATTGCGTCTTGAGTCGAGTGACGACGCGGAGCGCGCGCCTTAGTCGTGTTGTATTTTGACTGGATCTCTCTTCACTTGTCTGACTTACGCGTTTCACAGTCGACGCGTTTCGCGTCGTTTAACACACTTGTGAACATATTGTTATATTATAATTGCACTACTGTAATGTGCGAATATAATTACATTACATCATTATTATATTATAATTTATAATATTATATTATAATTTACGTAGGCATTTTACGCGTGTTAAGTGAGGTGATTTAAAAGCGCAGGAAACGCGTGAAAAGAGCTTCAGTCAAATTACACGCTTGCGCGCTAAAAAATAACACACAAATTGGATTTGCAGTGTGTATCGGTGCGTAACTTGCAATTTCCAATTCGGGTAAATAAAAGATTTCGTCGGCCTTGCGTTAATCAACACGCGTTTCTCCGATTGAATTGTGCTTACGCGTTGTACTTACGCGAGTGTCAGTGCCAGTGTCATGAGGAAGCGTCTGTAGGAAGTATCCGGAGGACGCACGGGATGCCAGAACATGGATAGCGACATATTTACAGGTATGTGAAATATCTTATTATACATTATGTTTCCAATTTTAACAGATATTTGACGGACTGATTGATGATAAAAATATAATTTAAATTAAAGTAAAAATTCTTTGCATACAAGGAATATTATTATTTGACAAATAATTATAGTTAATAATTATAATTAATAATTATAGTTCGATCTCTCCTTCGTCAATCTGTGCCTCTAATTATTTTATAACAATAAATATTGATATGTAACAGTAAATATTGATTTAAATAACAACTGATTTTAGTGCATAAAATATGAATTTGAAATTAATTCTGTTCTAAATCAATGTTCAAATTATCAATTCTGAATCAATGTTCATCTGTTCAAATTATGTTCTGAATCAAAATAATTAAAAACTGAATACCGGTCTTTTAGAATCCGTTATAAATAAAAATATTGATTTTTGCACTAAAATGTTTTTAACTTGCAAGTTTAATCTTCCATCATATCATACAACTCTTTTTTACTTGTTTTTTTTATTGTTCTTGTTCCAAATTCAAGTTCTCTATTGATACATAGCATTGTATATTATTGACACACAGTTGTTATTTTTGAAAATGTTTAAAGATATTTCTGAAAAATCGATCAATGTGTTTCATATTGAAAGAAAAGTCTTGTAATAGTTAACAAATGCATTTGGTTGAGCGTTTCAGTGCAATATTTGTAAATTAGTATGAAATATGATAATAGAGTTACCAATTTTTACCGTAATAATCATAATAACTATAAAATAATTAGTTCTTGGTTAAACTAATTAATTAATTTGACTAATTAATTGATTTGATAAATAATGCCAAATAATTTGGTAATAATTAGTAGATAGTTTCTTATCAAAGTATTTTGTCATTTCGCATATTTATCACACGATATGATAAATACTACTAAACAATATCGTTTTTAATTTAACAAATAATTTGTTGATACGTACCACATAAATTGGCAATAGTATTAATCTTTAGATATCAAGACTTACTAAGATTCTTTGTCGACATTTACAAAACTATTCAATTGTATTCACTTACATGTCTGGTTGAAACTAGCCAAATTTAACCAAAGCATTGGTAATTATTATTCAGGCTTAACGGTTATTACCAAACCTTCTTTTCAGTGCATACATCGCGATTAATACTCACATTCAGTGTTGGTTATTAATCGATTAAAATTGTCTTTGACCAAAATAGGCGGCAAATTATCAAAGCTAATCAGTCGTAATTATTCAGTTATGTATGTAATCACGATTAACTTAATCGATCGATGAAATTAATTGTTAATCAGTCTATTTTTTAAGAGTTACATTATTTCGGTTTATATTTCACCGGTCTATTTCAAAGAAAATTCTAATCGATTAATGCGCAACACTGGTTGCATTCGCAAATAATTTTATTTGTTTTGTGTTATCATGTAAACATTTGCCACGTCTCTTCGCAATATTTTACAGCAATATATTAGGACCTTAACTTAGTTTCCGCCCGCAAATGTTAGATGGCAATGCAAACAGTTCTAGTAGTCATTACTAACGAAACAGGTAGTTTGTGATTAATTTCGACATTTCTCGATAACATTCAGTCAGCATACACAATTATTTTCCTAAACAACAATTTCTTTTGCTTTGTGAAAAATGGAACGCGATAAAGTGTTTTTTCGACATGTGCTTTTGCACTATTTTGATTTGAAAAAAAGTGTAGCAGAAGTTCATCGATTACTTGAAGAAGGTTATGGTGATCGAGCTCCATCACATACAACATGTAAAGAGTGGTATAGACGATTCAAAAGTAATGATTTTGATGTCAATGACAAACCACGCTCAGGACAGCCAAAAAAATTCCAAGACGATGAATTGCTAGCATTATTGCATGAAAACTCGGCTCGAACGTTACAAGAACTTGGAAACGAGCTAGGAGTTACTGAAGCAGCTGTTTCCAAACGTTTACACGCCATGGGAAAGATCCAAAAGGAAGGAAGATGGGTACCACATGAATTGTCTGAAAGTGCCATTCACAACCGTTTCAATATCACGGTTTCGTTGCTTGCCAGGCAAAAAAAGAAGAGTTTTCTGTGGCGTATTGTGACTGGCGATGAAAAGTGGATCTACTACGACAATCCCAAACGCAAAAAATCATGGGTAGACCCAGGACAACCATCAACATCGCAGCCAAAACGGAACATCCACGGTCATAAGGTAATGCTTTGCATTTGGTGGGATCAGCAAGGAGTGCTGTACTACGAACTGCTGAAACCAAACGAAACTGTTACTGCCGATGTCTACAAATGTCAATTGAACAAATTGAATGATGAGCTGTTGCGAAAAAGACCAGCAATAGCGAGTAACAGGCGCAAAGTTATTCTCTTACACGATAACGCTCGGCCACACACTGGAAAAACCGTCAAAGAAACACTGACGCAGCTCGAATGGGAAACTCTTCCTCACCCAGCGTACTCACCAGACATAGCGCCTTCTGATTACCACTTGTTCAGATCGATGCAGCACGGCTTGAGTGGTACACGCTTCCGAAATGTTGAAGAAGTGCGAGAATGGGTGGACGAATGGATTGCTTCGAAACAAACATCGTTTTATCGAGATGGTATCGCCCAGTTGCCAGAAAGATGGCAAAAAGTTGTAGAAAGTGATGGAAAATACTTTCATTGAAATAATTTAAATAAATTTTTTACAATAAATGCTTTTTCTCAGTATTTTTTTGGGCGGAAACTAAGTTAAGGTCCTAATAATTATATAACGATGCAGTATATTCAAAGGATAATATTATAGAATAAATTTACAACACCTTCGCCCGATGCTTTGTACAGCGCAAAGCTTTTATACATAACCGAGGGGAGGCTTTCATCCCGCTCGTAAAAATACCCAGGAAATAATATCCATATTTGCGTCGAAGACATGTTTATTGCGCTCGATCGGCGAGCTGAGAGTTGCGGCGCAATACTGGTGAGATAATTTTATCTCTAAAGCATGTCGCGCGCGCGGCACCGTCATATCCTTTTTTTTTTACGCGTTTGTGGGAACAAAAAGGAGAGAAAGGGTGTAAACAAGGGAAGCTTGCTGGAGGAGCGTCATCGCTCGACTTGCCGACGTGGGGGGAAGGCGATCGAGCGTAGTCGGGTCGATCCGCAGGATGAAGCCTGGCGGGTGAAATCGCCGGGCGTGAAAAGCCTCTGTGAAGGGCTCTCTCTCTCTCTTCTCTTTGCAGGTCCTAGATCGCCGATGACTCTTTTTTCCTTTTTTTATAAAATGTTTTTCTCTCTGATAAAAAAAGGGCCGCGAGAGGGAGAGAGAGAAAGAGAGGGAAGAGTGGAAGAGGAGGGAGAGAATAAAAAAAGAAAAAACGCGATCATCCGGCCTCTTTTGCCTCTATTTGCCCATCGTAGCTTTTTATTATCGGCTTCGCCTCGACAAGGGAGCCATCCGGCCGTTCGTTGATCCGATTTGCCGCGCACCGGATGGCGCGTGGCGCATTATTTATTTATTATTAGATAGAGCGCGCACACATCCCCCGCGACCACCGTGCGCGCCCATCGAGACCACTCGACGACGATGACGACGACGACGACGATGGTGGCTCGAGCTCTCCGCGTACGAGCGGGAAATCGAACGGGCGGGAAAAACAGCCGCGTTCCTGTCAGACCGATGTCCGGGTATTAAATCGGCGTTAATCCTCGCGGCATGCGAATCACGCGTCCGCCAGCTCCCGCGCCTCTCCTTCGTGACATCTCTCCCTTTGCCGGGCGCGCTTTTCTTCTCGGAGGACGGAGATGCGCGACCCCCGTCGCGCAATCACGCCGTCCTAATAACGCCGTCTGTAATTTGTCGCGGCTATTTATCCCCGGAACTCGTCGTCGTTTCGTCGGACGTTTCGTTGTCGCCAAGCGAAAGCTTCCAACGCCGGGGACCTGTAAATTGCCGTCTCTTGCGCGAATATCGCGTGTTCGCGCTATTAACAATATAGCTCGTAGCGCGACACACATTCGCGGCAATATCAGGTTGATTTACGCGGCAATATCAGGTTGCGATTTCGTAATGTTTGGCATGATTTCGATAATTAACGGAAGCAAATTCCGATCAGTAAACGGCGAAAAGCACTCTGTACCTATGTCGAAATCGATCCGTGTAGATGTGTCTTTGTGTTAAGTTCTTAACATATTCATATGCCAATTTTAAACATATTATCGTTGTGTTACTTCGGCTCTTCTGCGTTGACTTCATACATTTTTCAAGTGTTAAAAATAACAATTTATTACGTAGCATGTACCCTCTTTAGTAACACATTTTACACACACACACACACACACATATATATATATATATATATATATATATATATATATATATATATAAAGTGTACAAATTAGTTGCATACCTATTACCTATTGACATGTTGGCTTCATTAAATTAACGCAAAATTAGAGCGTAAAAGAGTGGGCGAATTGGGACACGCGTGAAACGTATTTAACACGTTTCACGCGCGTTCCAATTCATGCATTCCAAATTTGCGTTAATTTGACACGTAACAAGCAGTAACAGAAGTCAGATTATGTGATAAGTCGAATGTGATCGGCCCGATCGAAGGATGATCAATTTTTACTATCATTCAACTAACAAAACTGTATGATTTTTAATTCAGTCTCGAAATAAACTACGCCGCGTAGTAACTACGATCGTAGTAACTACGATGAGAACGATACAGATTCAATTAAAAATAATCTGAATACACAAATGCCTCTTACGGTCATTCGGTCGAAACCGAACTTTAGTTCTCGAGAGGGCATTGCAATTGTCATCCTCGACTTTCTTCCACGACGGCGCAGTTTTTGCGCAAGGACTGCTGAAGTTTCCCTTCCGGTTCGATTCCCCGGTGTTCTATTAAAAGTTCCTAAAACGCGGGTCGATCTTCTCTCTCTCTCTTTCTGTCTTTTTTTCTTTGTTCGAAACTTCGACGACGTCCCGCGTTCGCGTTTTGGTTTTGTT